TCAATGAGAACTTGAAATGGGTAAATTGAATACAATAATAGAATTCGATCGAACACTATATTAGGTAATGAATCTTGAATTAAAAATAAATATGATCAATAGATGAAATTATTTCTATTCAAAATTTATATGAATTATTTATTTATGTGTTGGTTTTACTATGAGTTTAATACATTAATTATTTGATTAATAATTTGATGATTATGTGAGTCTCTTACGAATCGAGAGGTAAGTTCGAGCTTTAGACCATAAAATAAAATCCGATAAATTAGTATAATGTATAGAGATATTTATACTAATTATTGTGGTCATAATATGAATTCTAGTGTTCCGTTTAACTAAAATTGATTCGCACATAGATATAGAATTTAATTAATTAAATAGGCTCAATGAGAACTTGAGATGGGTAAATTGAATACAATAATAGAATTCGATCGAACACTATATTAGGTAATGAATCTTGAATTAAAAATAAATATGATCAATAGATGAAATTGTTATTCTCTAGTATTTATCACATATTTGAATTTTCAATTATCCATTGTTTGCAATTATTTTATATTTTCAATTAGTTAAAAGTATTAGGAAAAATAATCATTGTCATCATAATTATTTATCACTTTTGTCAAATAGGAGTTAAAAAAATTAGATTAACTTTTAAAGTATAATCTTCGTGGGAATGATATCCGGACTCAAGGGTCCATTATATTGCTTGTTACGATATCGTACACTTGCGATATAAAAAACGCAACAGTTTTCAAATAACATTACCATTATCTTTTTGCAACGTTCATTGCTCTTTGCCGTTATTTTTTTAGCAACATTCGTCACACGTTGTTGTGAATATTTTAGCAACATTTATTGCATGTTAAGTGATTGGACCAATTCGAGAATCTATTCCTCCTCAGATTTGTGTGTAAAATATGTAATTAGATTTATATTGTTTTTATGATTCCTTGTATGAAGTTATATGGAATGGAATTATGTGAATAAGTTCATTGTTATGGAATTACTCATCTATACTTCAATAGTATATTTCTAAATTGTTCATGGGCATGAATATAGAGATGATACATTTCAATATTTATTGGTATGCACATGGTATGGAAATCATAAATTGTACACCAACGTGGCTCATAGGGCCATTGCAAGAGGACACTCGTTGGATCATCGGGTGGTTCAATGATTGAATAAATGCTTGATCTTTGTTTGAAGTATTTGGTGTTGGGATGCCTCGATGGATATCAATTGTGTAAATGATCAGCATTCCTAAACAAATATCACATATGGCTAGTTACGAATTTATTGTGTCAAAAAGGGCACAAGTACGTGAAAGAGTTTTAGCCATACTTATGTTGAATTAAAGCAAGATTGAGTGTACATATTTTTGATTTCACATGGGCCTAAAGAAATTAAGGTAGATGTGTAACAAAAGAGCATTATATGGTATGCATCAAATGCACGCCAACACCATATTTTACTCATTGAGTTGCTATACTCATTCCCCTTTTTACCTATCACTTTCAGGTAACAATGACACGTAATTACAGAGTATAGAAAGAATAGTTGGGCCATTAACTACGATGTTGAAGAGTTATATTGGATATCAGTTCTCGACATATGATCATAATATCTGGGAAAGTGGACACAAATATTCAAATGGTTACTGTTATTCTTATGGTCCGTTATAGCACCATAACTAACAATATGATGGAAAAGGAGATTCGGGTAATGTCATGTAAGAAAGTGGAAGCCACTTTTGTACATACTCTTGCTCTTTGATTTTGATGATTATGTGTTTTTCTCTCCCCAAATTATGTGGAACAGAGTTGTATTTATGTCTTCTTTGAATCTTGGACGAGTTTTAGTTGAATTGGGTTTTTAAAAAGATGAATTGCACTTGAAAACCCTATTTTTGGCGGTGGGTAGCGCCTAGGCTCCGCGACGCCACGAATCAGGTCTTTTTCCTAAGAGTGGGTGTCTAGGTGTCCACTTGGTGGCGCCGAGGCGTCACCTGATGCTCCCACTCTACGCCTTTTCAATGTTTTTGTTGTAACTTTCTCTTTCGATATCTGGTTAAAGCGGTTCAAAGTGTGTTGGAAAATGTTACCAGAAATAACTATTTTCCAATTCGAATGTTTACAAGGCCAAAAATGTGTCTCAAGCTCCGGCTTAAAATCTGGAACATCTTTGTGCGCTTGAAAATTGATTTGTGAAAATATTTTGATCATATTTCACTCATTTTCACTTCTAATTACATCCAATAGACCCCTAAATTGTTCAAAAGAACTATTAAATGTCTATATTTTAAAGTCCAAATAAGTGTATAAAATACATTTATCAAACACTCTCAAACTTAAACATATGTTTGTCCTTAAACAAAACCATAACCTAACTTAAAAAACACAAACATGCAAAAGGTTTTGGTTAGATAACCTACCATTTCGTCTCAGGATTGAAATCATTGTATTAAATGTATAAATATCTTTAATGTTGCATTACCAAAATCAATATCTACTTCTCCAATGCAAAAGTGATGTGTGTGAAGAATTAAGTAAAACACTATAAATTTATGAGTTGTTTCAATTCACAACCCTTGATGGTCAAATTTTTACTTTCATCACTCGTGAGATTCACAACCTTCAAACTTATTCCTTTTTACTCTTTTCCAGTGTGTAATCTAATGCTGAATCTTTATACCAACTCCCCACCCTCTTTAGTTTAGATTAATCTCACTAATTGTAAGTCGATGTTTCAACAAACAAGGATTCTCGAAATTTTAATTACTTCAATCTCCAAGACTCAACTAGACTAATAATCCTTTGTCAAAGATCTAACTATTTAAAATAAGTGTTTTGGACTTAATCAAGGTATATAATATGTAAATACATATTTTTTTTTATCTTATGTGCATGCTTCTCTCCATTAAACTTTCTAACCGACCCTTGTACCGAGTTTTATGCTGAAAACTCCCAAGTCAGATTCTTAATCACTCGAGTCATAAGGTTACAAAAAAACTTTTCACAATGAGATAACTTTTTTTTTTTTTTTTGCCATGATTAGTGCAATGCCCCTAATTAAACACTCATTTTCAAAAATTGACCCATAACTTAAGATTTTCACATAATTTTCATCATATTGGTATTAGACAATTCACACAAGAATCTACACACATTGAATCCTTATTCATACCCATATCTCCCAACAATAGTAAAATCACCACAAACTAATCTAAATTTGGTCGAAGGATATATATTGTAGTAATTTTTGGGTTTAACATCTAAGTTCTACTATTTCAACATATTAAGCATATGAATCAACCCATTACTTTATAATGTTAAACTTAATTCATGTGCGCAAATAGTATCAAGTTTTACATTAATAAGAATCAATTAATCTAAGTAATATATCTACGGTTCATAAATTAATACATAATTCAAAATATATTTGCTGGTAAGACTCCTAACCTGCACAAGCACACAACAAACAAGAAAACATTTTTTTAAAAATTTTTAAATTTTTTTATGTATAATAAAGAAGTAGAAACACACAATAACATAAGAATAATGAAATTAAAAACCATATAAGAATAATAAAACTAAAAACGCAATGTTTTTTTTTTTCACCCCCAAACTTAAAGTATACATTGTCCTCAATATTTTAAAGTCTAGTATAGCACATATAGGGGTGGGGAAGAAAGGACTCCACAGAAATTCTGTCTAATATTTGATGTGCCTTGTTGGATGAGTTCATTCATTACTTTCCTAAGTTATCTCTTGCTCGATATCCATCTACCTTTGAAAAATAAAAGAAGACAAATATAAGAGTTAAGAGACACTTTAAAAACAATAATGTAGTGTATATAATAACCAGATTTTTTTACGTTCCTAAAGCTTTGAAAAATGTACCACATATCTTTCCTACTATTTTTTTTTATTCAAATATATGATTTTCTTTTAATAAGTTTAATATCGATATAATGACCCTCTTACTGAACTGAAACATGTCTAAAACTAATACACCTTAATAGACTATATGAAATGCAAATACATAAAGCATAATAAATAAAATGGTAAGAAATTGGGTTGCCACCTAATAAGCACTTAATTTAAAGTCTTTAGCTAGATTTTTACACAAATGCTTCATGACACTTTGAATATGGTTTTGGATGTCTTGTTTAACTTGCTCAATTTCATTTTGTTCTACACTTCACTTGTCGTCCAAAGTAGTAATTTGCCCTTTTGAATATGGTATGACTTGCCAAAATTACCCAATTCAAACTTAACTAAGAATACTTCAATTTCCTCATCGACTTTAATCACAAAATCAATGAAGTTGGAGATCTTCATGCTAATCCCATCTTCATTAACTACACCAAAAAAGAGTTTTTGCAGTGGCCAAACACTGCAAAAGACTTTTTGCAGCGTTTTTCCAAGAGTTGCGTGGGTCGGTGTTACCATTGAAGGAAGACCTTTTACAGCGTTTTCTCAACGTTGCAATAGACCCTTTTACAACGTTTTTTAAATGTTGAGGTAGACCCTTTTGCAGCATTTTTTCAACGTTGTGATAGACCATTTTACAACGTTTTTTAAACGTTGCCGTAGACCCTTTTGTAGCGTTTTTCCAACGTTGCCGTAGATTTTTATTTTTTTTTTAACAATTTAAGATGGTAATTGACCCACAAAATTGAAAAAAAGGAGTAAGAATTAAAGAGTTCATGTTACATCCTCTATAAAGCTCGAAACTACAATAAACTATCCAAGCTACAAATTGCACATAAACAATGACACAAATACAAAACTAGCCTTTCATCTTTCTCTTCCTGAATAAACTATCCATTCTTGATCTCTTCCTTGCCTGTTCCCATTCTGGTCTTACCTGCTTCTCAAGCTCATCTTTTAGTTTATATTTCATGTGTAGTTCTCTTTCTGCAGAATCGCAAATTGCTTTCTGGGCTTCAAGACTAGTCAAGAGGGCACTAGTTGCTGCTTGATTCAGCCTTACTTGTTCTTTATAGACAACACTCCTGCAAAAACGAAAACAATTCAAAATTCAATTTGTTGATTACAAATTCATCCCACCATTCCTCCGAGATGAAAAAAAAAAAAAAAATCAAACAATGGGTTAAAACGTTAAGCAAAGGTTTAACTTCAATTTTGTTTCAAGACAGAAGTCAGTAAACTTGTTTGAATTATTTCTAGGCAGACACTTTGACTATGAACCAAACATGCAAGAGGGAAATAGAATTATTTATGATATTTCAAGGTAACACTTTAAAAATTAATTAATTAATAAAATACACCAACCTGAGAGATAGACAGTGCAAACACAAATAAGTATGTATGCATATATTTTTTCTTAAACAGGTTTCTTCTCATTCATAAAAAAAATCTACAACCTGTGCAATCTTACCATAAAGCAAGGAAGCCTAACAAGAAGGAAGGACAAATTCGGATGCTCCCTGGCTCCCACGTGCAGTCATTTAGAACTTTAAGCCATTTGGATTCACTCCTAACAAAAGTGTCATATTTCAATTTAATGAGTTACTAACTTTGTTTATTAGTAAGCTGCAATGCTAGGCTACCAGTTTTTCGGTTTAAGCAGTAACCTTATTACGTGCTCTTGGCCGGGTTTTTATGATAACTCTTTAGAGAGGATCAATTTCGGACTCAAGTTTAATTATTGTTTAAATGCGAGTCCTCTTTGACAAGGGTTATATTCAACATGCGTTAGACATCTAATGAAGAAATAATCCACCTTTTTTCTTAATTATGCCATGCATCTGCTTCATTTGATGCAACATCTAAGAAACCAAGGTCTAATCCTATGTATCTCAATTCTTCTCCCTCTTCATTTTCTTCCATGTGGTTTCTAACTCTTTTTCATAATCTCTGAAATCCGAAGCTCATGCTTGTTTTCTATAGTCTCTTACAAATACCCACAAGCATACCATAATTCCCTCATGTAAACTTTGCTTCCCTTAAAATCTTACTTTCGTAAATCATTACGGGACTATCTGCTTTATTTCCAGCAAAGCAGCTAATTATTTTCGCAAATCATTACATGGCAAAGCCAACAAACTAAAAGCCAACAAATCTTCGAGTCATTCTTTATTCATTTTTTCAAAAAGACACCTTAATGTGGTGACCAGTTGCGCATCGACGTGTCTGCTTTCATTCCAACAAAGCAACTTGTAAATTAGGCACATGAAGAACCAAGTCGTCAGGCAACAAGACAGACAATTTTGTCAAGTTTAGACTATTTCACCAGCTATAGAAAAGAATGAATCCTGAACTCCTTTTTGAGAACTTTTCAAGTTAAATCTTCCTAGAATTATCCTTGTTTAGATCACAGAATACAGTAATGCCATGCAGCATGCCCAGAAACTATTTACTCCATGCTTTTCACCACATCATCAAATTTGCAAACAGATAAGTGTAGTTCAATTATTCCTTCTTTGACAATCAGAAGAGCATAATAATCACTAAAGAAAAGCTGAAAAACAATAAGCTGATCGAAATCATGTTAATTTATTAAGCACAATGAATAGAGGTAGAGGATGGTCTTCATACCTTCAGAATCTCGAGGAACTGAAGCACGATTTCGGAGATATGATTTATCACCCTGGTATAAATCTATGTCTTCAATCTTGGAGTATTCATCCAATATAAAACCAATTAAATCATATGCTACCATAATAGTCTTGTCGCAAGCATCTTGGACCTCAAGGCTGCTCTGGTTATTGATTAACACTATTGACCACCTCTTGATCCAGTCCACCATGATATCATACATATCAGTAACCAATGGCTTTAACATGTCATAAATAAATTGCTTATCTTCCACCTTACCATTAAACTTCAGCATCATTTTTTATCAAAATGCGAAATGACAAGGAACTACTAAAGTATTATTATTGGAAGGGCAATCTTCAATTCATGCAATAGATATCTAAACTTTAATCTCATTGCAACATATCCCATCATACCTGATGCTTCATACTTCTACCATCGCATATCAAATTTCATGAGAAAGGAGCAGAAAAATTCAGCAGCAAAAATTATCTGACAAATTTTATACTGTTATATGTTTCCATTTGGAGAAAAGGGTAGTTGCTGAATAATTATTCTAACAAATCATTTTTTCCTTCAAATTTCTTCAATGGTCTATTTATTAGTAATTCATCCAAATAATGCTAGAACAAAATTGAAAATAGATTTTACTTGACCCATTTCTCGTCGTTTTATTGGAATCGACTTGATTATAGAGATACAAAGAGATCAATTTTAAAAATTTGACTAGAGAAAAAAGGACATCAAGAACAATAACTAACCTAAATCATAACTTCAAATTTCAACTAATTTTAACCTATGAACTCCCACTTTATCTTTCGCCAGTTTGATACAAGTGCTCGAAGATCGATGACGCCCACTTGACATTGTCTATCATCAAGAATTCAAACCCTAAGTTCAAATTTCAATTGTACACAAAATCAAAATTCTGCATATACAGAATGGGAATGGGGGGTTTTGTCTGACTGTCTGAGTGTCGGGACTTACCAGGAGATTGAGTGCTGAGTGCCGGGAGACCGAGAGAGCCCAGAGAGGAGTGAGAACGAGTGGAGCCGGACGAGCCACGAAGCTTGGAAGTTGGAACAGGGGGAGGAACGGTCGCGCGGAGCTTGGAAGTTGGAGCCGGTGCCGTGACTGCCGTTGGTGTGGCTGGGAGAGAGGACGGGCAGATCGTTTCTTGAGGCTGCTGGAAGAAAGGAAAGACAGACGTGAGGAGGAAGAGTTAGGGGTTTGCAACGCGAAACTATCAGAAAAAAAAATTGCGAAAAAGGTTTTTCGTAATTTTTAAAAACGTTGAGAAAAAGCATCATTCGCAACATTTTTTAAACGTTGCGAAAAGTTTTATTTTTAAAAAATTTCGCAACACTAAAAAAAGTTACAAAAAGGTAATATTAGCAACATTTACTTAAAAAATGTTGCCAAAGCTCAATTTTGTTAAGCAATGGCAACATTCACGTATTAAAATGTTGCGATAGACTCCTTTAACTGCGTTTAACTNCACGTATTAAAATGTTGCGATAGACTCCTTTAACTGCGTTTAACTATCAAATGTTGCCTTTTATGTGTTGCAAAAGCTATTTTTTGGTGTAATGTTTGAATGCTACTAATTCTTTTGGCTCCTTCGTGATTAATTTATTCGTTTCTTCATGTTTTTTTTCTTTAGTTGGTTCATCGAGTTGAATAATGAAAAGACCTTCCAATGGCATGTTGTTTGACTCATCTGAAATTGCTTGATCTTCAACCCGTTTATATTTTTGCATGATGATGTCTTCGGTAACTAGTTCACTATCATCATCTTGTTTATATGGATCATCAAATATATCTTTCCTTGCTTCCTTAGTAGTCACCAATAACAAGCAATTTTTTGTAAGATGCAATGCACCACAATATTCACAGGTCGGTCTAATCTCCTCATAAACAGTAGATTTAATATTTAGTCCTTTCGGAAAGCCTTCCTTATCAAATACAACAGGTTGATCGTATCCTCACTTTTTAAGTTCTTGTCTGAAGAGGAATTCTCCAAAGAGCATGTCACCTTTATTTAAATTGGAATCAATCATTGTGAATTTTTGATCTCTTGTTTCTTTTTATTCCCTGTCAATAGAGCAAAGAAAAACAAGGAGATCAATTAAAAAAAAGAAAAAAGAAAAAGAATCTAACAAAATCAAGAAATAATTAAAACCAATGTTAAATAAAAATAGTTTCCAGTAGGGCGCCAAAAACTTGTTGTCGATTTTTATATCCCGTAAGTGTACGGATCGTAACAAGTAATATAGCAGACCAATGAGTATGGATATCGTTTCCACAAGGACTACTATTTAACAATTTGTTAAATTATTCCAACTTTAATTTGATTGAAAATAAATAATAATGTTTTTGATTGCTGTCTAATTATTGTAACTAAACTAAATTATATAACGTACACAATTTATCGAATTTTGATTTTTAAAAGTTTAAATGTTGATGCTATGACTTACAATTTTACCTATGGATCCCCTTTAATTCTCCAATCAGGAATTATTACTATTGTAGTGTTCGGTCGAATTCTTCTAAAGTATTCAATTTACCACTCTCAAGTACTCATCGAACCTATTTAACTAATTCAATTCTATATTTCTACGTGAATCAACCTTAGTTAAATGAATTATTTGTTTTAAGAATTCATGTAATGACCATAATAATTAGCATAGGTATTTCTACACGTTATACTAAATTAGTGGATTTTACTACGTGGTCTAAATCTAAAACTCACCTTTCGATATGTAATAGATTCACAAAATCATTGAATAATTGGCCAACGAATTCAAAGTATTAAATTCATGAATAAAATCAACACATATGCATTTAAAGAACTAGAATCTTCAATAAAAAAAATAAAGGGTCACACATAGATTACATTGTTCGCCCTACCTATGAATTTAGGTACTCATAATAATGAAAAAAAAAATAAAAAGTATATAGTTCATAACCAGGTTTTGAAATCTTGATCATGAAAATAATTGGATCTTGCATCAAGAATCTTTTTCAATCTCAAAAGTTTTTCAAATTTTAGCTTTTGCTCTTTTATTTTGATGATTATGTGTTTTTATCTCCCCAAATTGTGTAGAACTAGAGTTGTATTTATGTCTTCTTAAGTTTTGGACGACTTTTAGTTGAATTATTGGGCTTATAAAAAGATAAATTGCACTTGAAAAGCCTATTTTTGGCGGCAGGTAGCGCCTCCACGGTGCCACGAATCTAGTCTTTTTCCCAAGTTGGCGCCTGCTGCTCCCACTTTGCGATTTTTTCAGTGTTTTGTTGTAACTTTCTCTTCCAATATCCGATTAAGGCGATCCACAGTTCATTGGAAAGATAACTCAAATGGCTACAATTTTATCAGAAATAGATATTTTCCATTTCGAATGTTTACTAGGCCAGAAATGGGTCTCAAGCTCCGGCTTAAAATCTAGAACATCCTCGTGTGTTTGAAAATTGATTTGTGTTAATATTTTGATCATATTTAACTCATTTTCACTTCTAATTGCATCCAATAGACCCCTAGTATTCTTGAGTCTTCATCGTGAGTTTCAACACAACTTTTAAATATTTACACTTTAGTCTCCAATCTTTGGATCTTGCCCATTTTTCGCTATTTTCACTTATTTCTTTCAAATCCACTTCCTTTTATCGAGTTTAACCTAATAAATGAAATATACAATAAATTAGGCTATAATTGTTCAAAAGAACTATTAGATGTATATAATTTTAAGTCCAAGCACTTATCACTGGAAAAGGACGTGAGAAAAAGAGAGAAGAAAGTTGTCTATTTTGTTACTTTTGAATTGACAACTTTATGTACCACCACTCATTCCCCTTCATTTTTGGGTAAAAATATAAGTCGGTCTGTCTAAACTATAAGTCACAAGTCACTTCTTGGAGGTGGCTTTAGTCATGTAATATACTCTATGGAAAAGTAATAAGTTAGCTGCATTCCTTACTTTCTATCTTCAATATCTTGAAACAAAAATGTGATATTTTGTGCGTTATATTTATCAATCCTATAGGATATGGGTACTAAATTAAATGGTACCCATGATACTATCTAACTGATGAAGATACTCAGAAGTGGAGTTAATTATGCGGCAAAGTGTTAGAAATATTATATAGCATGTGATTTATATAACAAAATTAAAATGAAGAGAAGGAAATGGCAAACCGAATAAACGCTAAACAAAATTGCAGAAAACAGTAGATTGAGGCTAGAGTTCGACTCTATTTCCTTAAGACGATTTTGGCCTGCTACGGTGCTTACAGTTGACGC